GTCTGGCACACTATTTCACCAGAAACACACCAATCGTACAGTATAAGCTCAGCAGAAGGGCAATTACGCTGGAAGGGGAGTTCAGAAAAAGCTTCTCAAAAGAAAGAACTTCCTGGATGTTCTGAATAATGAGCAGAAGGCAGTGTAGGGGAGGCAGAGGACTGGTGTTTGTGTTTTGCTTTGCTAGGCTGGGTCATAGGACTGGGAAGGTCACCCGAGGGGCCAGGTCATGCGGGGCCTTAAATGCTAAGGGGCATAACGTGATCCATGTACACATGACAATCAGGATTCTAGACTTTATCCTGAAAGCTGTGAGAACCACTGCACAATTTATAAGCAAGGTAGAACCTAGCATATCAGTAACTTATTTTTTAAATTCTTCATTTCTAAAAATAGAAACACAGTACACATGCACAGAGTACCAAAATTCAAAAGGTCCAGAAGGATTTAGAGTGAGACGTCTCTCTCCCAATCCTTTCCCCGAGCCATGCAGCTCCCCAGCCCAGAGGCAAGCCCTGCTACCACTGTCCTGTGGATCTCCCGAGATGTGCTTAGTCACTCCGTGTGCATGTGTGGAGAACGGGTGGCATAGAAAGCACACTCTTCCGTGGTTTTTTTTCACTTATTATCTTTCAGATTATTCCCTATTAGCACATGTTCAATTGCCACATTCTTTTTAATAACCCTGCAGCATCCCAATGAGAGAGATTTAGACTAGATGAGCATTTCAGAAGGTGCCGGCCCTCTGGCTGGAGCCTAGAGGATGGCAGGGAGCTGCTGCTGGCACAGCCCTCTGCCCTCCCCTATCTTCTTCCTTGGATGTGAACATGATACTTTTTGGAGGTGATCAGACATCTTGACCATCAGGCAATTGGCCAACATTGCAGGGATGGCAGCCTCAAAGGGAAAAGGAGCTGAGCCCTGGATGGCCTGGGTGAGCTGTTGCACTGACCTGGGCCTGCCTGCCTCCTGGAGTTTTGTTATAGGAGGAAAATGAGCCCTTATTTATTGAAAACAGGGTAGCTGCTTTTAGCTGTAGCTGACTGCACTCCTAACTGAAAGAAGAGTTTCCTTCCCTCTTTCCTTTTTCATCCTGTTTCTCAGAGATTCCACCCAGCGACAGGGAACCCAGCAAGGAAGGCCTTACCATACCTAAATAATAATAAAACCTATATCACAACAATAACCAGAGACTCTCCTCTGGAGCCTCCAGAAGAGCGGTAGAGTGAAGCACAATTACTAACAATTTCCCTCTAGCCCTAGAGCTCTGAATAGTTAGGGACTATATTTTAAACAACTGTCTCCCCTCTACAGCACTAGGAGGAATGCCTTGCACCAAATAATGGCCCAGGAAGTGTGCCTGAAGAACTCAAAGTCCAGGGCAGAAACAGACATGTAAACCAGCAATGTCAATTTGCTCTGTAAATGCTCAGATGGATTCAGGGCAAAAACTGGGTAGGTCAGAGGAAGGAATAGCATCCCAATGTGGCTAGAAAGCTGAGGAAGGTTTCACAACGGTCTGGGGCTGGACTTAACAGATGAACAGGACTTTGCCAGGCGGCCGAAGGGAGCACAGTACTGAGGCAGAGCAAGCGGTGGGCAGAAAGCACTGTGGGCACAGACACAGTGAAGGAGGGAACAGGCACATTTTGGTCACTCCTCTTTCAACCCAGGAGGCAACTCTCGCCTCTCCCGGCATTGGAGGAGGAAATCGTCTCTTCTTTTTTTTCACAACTCAAAAATCTAGCTCCAATAGCTTTGGCTAGGGCTTTCAGAGATTGCTGAATGACTGTTTAGGCTTTCAAAGCAATTTAACAACTGTGTTCAATATCAGTTGCTACTTATTAACATTCAGTTAAATTAATACTGTTTCATTATTTGTTAACAAATGCTAAATACTAAACATTACACACATTTTAAAATATTAGCTACTAAATACATATCTAGACTAATCAAACTGCTGGTCCAATCTGTAGACCCCTTCGCTTAGGCAGAATTCCTTCTTCTTGAGACATTTGGGAACTTTTAAAGAAAAGTTTATTCTCTAGCAATTCATGGTTGAGTGTACCCCACCACCTCCCCTCTCCGGAAGGTGCCCCAGGTAAAGGTGGGGCTGAGTGCCACACCCCATGGTTAGGTAACCTATGCAGCTGAACAGTTTTTGCATATGAAGTTGGACTAGGTCTTTACATTGCATATATATTCACATGTTCACAATTTCAAGCAAGCAGCCAGGACGTGGGCAAGGGAAGCCAAGTCAGCAGGAAGGCAAAGGCTCTCTGTTACCGTTTGTGAAAACCCAACTCCTGAGATTAGCACTAGGATGAGAGGTAGAGGGGACACAGGCCAACAGCTTGCTAAGAGGGCAGAATCGGAGAGGCTGGCAAAGGAATTGTTAAGGCTCTCAAGGGGTCCTGCTCCCCAGTGCTGAGGGGTGACATGGTGCTTGGGATTGGGTCTCTTGACATCCAGCTTCCAGGCCCCACCCAACCTTCTGGGGTCATAAGGAAACAACTGAGCTACCAGACTTGGAGGGCCTGCCAAGATTGGACAGAGGCTGTTTCAGAGGCAATCTGATGACTGCAAGGGCCTTTCCAGCATCTAGATGCCATATAACATCTGCATACCTTTACATAATCTTGGGAGTTTGGGAGAGCCCACCTCCAAGGCAGATGGGAAGGGGAGGGGGTCTCGATAACAGAATTAAATTTAAGGAGAACAAAGACATCTAGTATTTCTTGCAAATATTAGTCTTTGGATTGAAAAATCACATTAACTATGCATTGTTCCCTTGCGTCCTCAGGACAGTTAAGCCAGGAAGGCTCTGCACAAGCAGGCTGGCAAGCATCTAGTCCTCCAGGATAAAAGATTATTTGGGGGGTTATTTTGTGGGTCCACTACCAGACAGTCCAGGGATAAAAGGCCTTCTTCCTTTCCTTTTGTATTCCTAATAGGAAATGAGAAGACAAAGTGGACACCAGAGCAAGAACAGTTTCTATTACTGCAGCTGGGGAAGTGACAGGAAAAGGGCGAAACCCACCAGTTCAGGGAGTGAATCAGGAAATATCCAAAATGTCAGTGGAGAGCTGAATGGTCCAGCATGAAGCTCTGAGCATGTAGCAGGCCTAGCTGAGCTCTTAATGGGTTTGTCCTGGCAGAACAAAACCAGACCCCTTTGGATACACAGGACCCAAAGCTCTCCTTATAGGAAGTGCCTCTCAGATTCTGGCTGAGTCTTTGGGGGAATAGCTCACCAGGCAGTGGGAGAGTAGGTGCCACCCAGCACCACCACATGGGTCCAAACTGTAGCTCTGCTGGCCCTATCACTATACAGTCATAACCTTTGGTTGTATTTAGACAGCTCGGTGGAACAGGTGACAGGCATCCTTTGCAGGGGAGAACGTGATAGAATTCCAGTTTTAGAAGACTTGGACCTGCTACCTTTTTGAGGTAACTGGACCTCACCTCAAATCCACCTGGTACAAGTAAAAGTAGAAAGAAGAGCAGAAGTCTAGTTGCTATCCTTTTAGAATTCTAATCCCAGAATATGTTTGCTAGATATAAGTTATTTAGAGAACTGTTCCAGTATAAAAAGAGGCTTCACTCCTCAACCCTGTTCCCCACTCACCATCATATTCCAGCATGAATGAGGAGGACCTTATTTCTGCTCTAGTTTGGAGAATCTCTACCTCTTCTTTCTTTGTCACTTTTGCCCACGTAGAGTGGTTTCGAAGTAAGAAAAGAAGAAACTCTTATAAGAAAATACAAGTCTCATCAGTGACCTCCAAAAATTTTAAGGAAAAGAGATCCAGACCCTGTGGCACATGTTTAAGATCCTTATGGTCTGAATTCTCTGTTGGAACCGTTAGAAAGAGTTATACCTGCAGTTCCCCTTTTCCTGTCCCCCCTTCCTGCCAGCTGTCTGCACCTATGGGCAGTCCCTTGTTCTACTGACATTCCAGGTACCTAGACCCATAACTCTCTGCCAGCAATTTTTAAGAGGAAGCAGTAGCTACTTTCTATATTATCATATATCTTCCTCAAGAAGATCTTCTGTTCTCTGCAGACTGGACATGAAACTCTTTTCTTGAAATGGGAGGAGAAATGGTCTTTCATTTGTCTCATTGTTGGATACAGCTCTAAGGCCCTGCATATTCCAGACACTTGAAGTCCATTTTAATTCCAATATCCCATCATTCCAAAAAGCATTTCCCAAAGTTTGTTCCACTGAGTAATGGTTTTTCCAAAATGTTTAGCGAATGAAATAGTTCAAGGTCAAATAATTTTGAAAAAAAGATGTATATTTTGAAAATCTCTCCCTCTTGGAAATGATGTGCATTAGTATATTCAAGGTCTGAGAAGTCAGAAAGTTTTAAAAAATGTATGTGACTCTGTAACCCCCATAGTCCCTTTCTTCACGTAACACCCATCAACATCCACCTGACCTCTTTAGGAAAAAGGCTGTTCTTGGGAACATAGGAGCATCTGGTTTCCTAATTGTTACCATGAAAATCAATCAACAACTCTAACTTGTTTAAGGACATAATCCAAAATTCAAAAAAAGCTCTATACACACATTAGTCACAATGTTGTTTGTAATAACAAAAACCTGAAAACAAATATCTTAAAATAGTGGTTGATAAAATATGTAATGGTGCAACCATATCAGGATATAATGTAGCCACTAACGATATTTATGAAGAATTCTTAAAAATTTACAAAAATCATCAAATTGTATACATCAAATATATACAGTTTTCACTATATCAATTATACCTCAATAAAGCTGTTTAAAAAAATTGTGAAAACAGGGAACACAGTGTAGCACAGAGAAGACAAATAATGACTCTGTGGCATCTTACTACACTGATGGACAGTGACTTCAATGGGGTATGGAGGGGACTCGATGATATGGGTGAATGTAGTAAACAATGTTTTTCATGTGAAACCTTTGTAAGAGTGTATCTCAATGATACCTTAATTAAAAAGAAAAGAAAAAAACCTGTGAAAATGTTTGTAAAATGTCAGGTGAAACACTGTATATATATATATATATATAGTATGTTCTTAACTACATGAAAAATATATGCAGAGAAAAAATACACTGGTTTAAACATCTTTTGGGTCTGGTAATATTGTCAAGTAGAGCTTCTGAAACGCTTCTGCTGTATAACTATCTTAAAATACTTGATATAATATTTTTAAGGCCTCACTTTAGGTGGCTTAATGAGACTGCAAAAAGGTAAGGAAAGGCAAATGAAATTAGGAACTTGGTCAGAATGGGAAAACAGTGAGCTCTTAAGAGGCTGAAAACCTTGGACTAGCCTAGAAGAGTCTAGAATGGTGGTTATCAACAGAGATGGCACTCCCTCACAGTGTGAAATTAGGAAAAATGGGGCCATTTTTAGTTATCACAACTGTAGGCCGCTGCTGGCATTTAATGGGTGAGGGGTCAAGGGTGCCTACCCCATGCACATCACTTCCTCCTAGTCTGTTGACTATCATTTAACTTTGGTTATATAGAAGTTTAAAATTTTCATACATTCAAATTTATTGCTGTTTTCCTTTATTGCTTCATTGTTTTGGTCTTCATAGAGAAGGCTTTCCCTACCTCTGAGACATCATTTTCAATGGTTACATAATATTCCATTGTATGGATGTGCCATCACTTACTAAGGTGTCTCTCACTATTGGAAATTTTGGTTGTTCCATCTTTTCACTAACATAAAGAATGTTGTAAAAAACAACTAAGTGTTCAACTTGATATTTCTAACATATATCTTAGTGCCTGGAAAACTGAGTATACTAAATGTATCTTGAATGCGGAGGGGATTAAGGCAGGAAGGTTTTTACACACTCACATTCAAGGTATATTAAAAAATGCAACCCAATGTCAACCAAATTATTGAGGAATTAGCTCTACAATTCTAATTCTCCTTTAGCCCATCTAATCAAGAGTGACTTTGCTTCTAAAATCTAGACATGGAAATAAAACTTCACCATCCCCCTCAGATTGCCCTTCCCAAGGGTTGAACAACAGCCCTTTAATCACACACCTGAATCCTTCTTATCTTGACTTCCGGTTTAGCGTGCCACTTTGCTTGTGAGTCCTCAAGGTTTACTCAGATGATGGTAAACAGGACTTAGAGGATGAGGTCAAAGGAAGAGAAGTCTCACATCTGCTAGGCTGGGCTGCCACAGATTTTTGAGTCCCAGCCCTATTTTCAGCAGGTAGAGTTTCATGTCCTAGAGGCAGAGCTCCATATCCTGCAGGCAGGGCTTCATTTCCAGCTGGTAGAGCTTCATCTTCTGCAGGGAGTACTCCATACCCCACTGGTGGGGCTCCGTATCCTGCTGGTGGGGCTCCATATGCTGCTGGTGGGGCTCTGTATCCTGCTGGTGGGGCTCCATATCCTGCTGGTGGGGCTCCATATGCTGCTGGTGGGGCTCCGTATCCTGCTGGTGGGGCTTCGTATGCTGCTGGTGGGGCTCTGTATCCCACTGGCAGGGCTCCATATCCCACTGACTGGGCTCCATATCCCAATGGTGGGGCTCCATATCCTGCAGGTGGGGCTCCATGTCCTGCTGATAGGGGCCCACAGACAACAACTGGGTATCCTGAGAAGGAAAAGCAATTCAGCTACTTGTTTTTTTGGAGTGGACAAGGAATAAATGAGAAGAGGAAAGAAGATAAAAAATATACTGAAGCAAACTGATACAGGAAGAGAATTCAGGTAGAATAATGCTAAAGCCAGATTCAGCTAAAGGCTTTATCAGATGAAGGCTTTATCATTTCCTGTTGTAGAGGGATTCAAATTAACATGAAAACAACCCTACAGTTATAACTCTATGTTCTTACAGTTGTGCACAGATACCTATTTCACTTAATAAATTTTGTTTTGATTATGAAGAAAGTAATACATTCTCAGTGAGGAATATGTATTTGGAAAATAGAGAAAAGATGAATATTAAAAAAGACATTTATGGTTCCATCATCAAAGACAAAAAATATTTTGGTTTATTTGTAGTATCTGTTAATATTTTTAATACAATCATGATTATAACAACCATGTAATTTTTTTATCTGGCTCTTTTTACTTGACATTATGAGAAATTTCCTTATATTATTAATGTACTTCATAAGTTAAAAGCTGGACAATATTTTATATATAGGTAGGTGCTACTTAATTCTCCTATTGTAGGACAGCATGTTATTTCCAACTTTCTAATCAATATTGTGATAAAAAGGGGTTTTATTTATTTCCTTGGCTATGCTCCCAAAGTGATTTAACTGGGTCACGGTGCATAGACAGCTGTTAAATTATTTTGTTGTAATCCATATTTACGTTCAAGCTAACTAGAGAAAGCTTTAAAAGAACTCTTTTACAGATTCTCAAAGAACTAAAGGAAAATGTAGAGAAAAATCAAGAAAAAGATGTATGAACAAAATTGAAATATCAATAAAGAGACGTAAAACCTAACAAGAAATCAAAAGGAAACTCTGGAGCTGAGAAGTACAATAACTGAAATGAAAAAATTCACTAGATGGATTCAAATTCAGGTTTGAATAGGCAGAAACAAGAATCAGTGAACCTGAATATGGGACAATAGAAATTGTCAAGACTGAACAATAGAAAGAAAAAAGACTGAAGAACCAGCGTCTTTTCAGCGACACCATTGAGCAAACCAACATACACACTGTGGAAGTCCCAGAAAGAGAAGAGAGAGAAAAGGGGGCAGAGAGAATATGTGAAGAAATAAGAGCTGAGACTTCCCAAATTTGATGAAAGACATGAATATTAACATCTAAGAAACTCAATGAACTCTAAGTAAGATGCACTCAAAGAGATCCACACCAAGACACATTATAATCAAACCTGCAAAGCCAAAGTTAAAAAAATCTAAAAGCAGCAAGAGAAGTGAATCATCATAGACATAGAGCCCTCAATAAGATAATCAGCAGATTTCTCATAAGAAACTTTGGAGGCCAGAAATAAACTGTCAAACAAGAATCTTATATCTGGCCAAACTCCTTCAAGACTGAGAGAGAAATTAAGCCATTCTCAGATAAGCAAAAAATGAGGGAGTTCATTACCACTGAACTTGCCATGCAAGAAAAGGTTAAAGGAGCTCTGTAGGATGACATGAAAGGCCTCTAGACAGTAATTTGAAGCCATGTTAAGAAATAAAGATCTCAATAAAGATAAATTGTTGGGGATTATAAAAGCTAATGTTATTGTAGCAGTGTTTGTAATTCGTTTTTGTTTTGTTTTCTACATAATTTAAAAGACTAATGCATTTAAAAGAATTATTAGATTATGTTTTGGGGCACGCAATGCATAAAGATTTAGTTTTGTGATATAAGTTGTAAACAAAACTAAAAGCTGACAGGCACGCACATTATGCTCCAAGGAAAACCCAAGAAAAGGGCCCACGTTTTGTGGTCTGTTGGCAGACTGTTCAGTGGCCTCCCCAATTGGCTGTGGATCATATTTGAGAATCATTCATCTATCACCACCCAGGAACATGACTTAGGAGTTGTGGACAGGCACAACTTTTAAAGGGTATAAAGCCCAGGGCTGGCGTCCTAGGTGACTTTGAAGGGCATGGCACAAGCCTGATGGCAATGCTTGCTTGAAATGGAAAGGAGGAAGTGAGCATAAGCATATGTTTTCTGCTCAGGCTGTAAGCAGGATGTGACTGTTCCCACTAATGGGAATTGCCCAGCTATGCTCCATATTTATACTTCATGGTTCAAAGTAAGCCTGAAACTGAAACCCATCACCTGCTCATCTGCCACTGAGTTTCAGTCTGGAAATCAGGTCATGGACTTAACCATTTTCCAGCCAACTTAACCAACTCTGCTGCTTCTCCCACAGCAGAGTTGGAGGTAAGCTAATAGTGAGCAGATCTTTGAACACCTGCCATACTTTTATACCACCCAGGAAGAACCTCCCCTCCATACCTTACCTGGACAAGGCATTTGTTGGGTGCACATCATGTTCCCCTGTCCAGTAACTACATATGGTCCTCGAGCACTGAACCAGTAATTTACACTTACAAATGGAATACCTCTGGCACCTGAAAGACAAGTTTGGGAAAATTGGGACTCTAATTCTTCTAAGTCAGATGCACAGCAGCTATCAACAAAGTAATTAGCAGAGTATTAACCATCACCTTACATGTGTGTCCAACATTGCCTCCAGGATACACAATAAAAAACATACATTGCTCTTGTCCTGAACTGTATGTTTCTTGAGGGCAGAGCCTGTCCTATTTGCCTTTGCTTATTCAGGGTCTCGCATAGCACCTACCAAAACAGGTATTCAGAAAAAATTTCCAAGTGCGGATTCTACCAAGTTGGCAAGATACCTCTGTTAGAAACTAATATAATGTAAGTGTGGCAGAGAAGAAAGCACTTCTGTTTGTCTGTCTCCCTCTGCATCTCTCTTATAGGAGCACTGTGGTAACATCTGGGGCCTACCTGGATAATCTAGGACAATCTCCTCATCTCAAGATCCCTAAATTAATTACATCTGCAAAGACTCTTTGTACAAATAAAGTACTATTCACAGGTTCTGAGGATTAGGACATGAGTATATCTTTGGAAGCTTTATCAGCCTACCACACTAACTTTTGGCCTGTGGCATATGTTCATAAATAAATATACTGCTTCCAGGCCTTCCCCAAGAAAACTTCCCAGGGGAGATCTTTACTCTCTTCCCCTCTCTGCTAGCTATCCAAAGAGGTCATGGAAGCCTTATGTTATAATGGCAGAGACTCTTATTATCCTGCATTACTGAAGTGTTATGTGGGACATGGCCCCGGTTTGCCCTGCTGATTCACCTTTATGTAAGCAATAATATCTATCTTCTTAAGCCATTGATAATTTTGGGTTTGTCTGTTTCAATAACTAGCATTATCTTCACTAATTAACTAAAAATCTAAAGTTGTCCCCCTTGTCCCTATTACCCACCTTTCCAACAACCTATTTGTATCCCTTCCCAGGAGAAGTTTTTTTCACTTATGTATTTGCTTACTTTTTACATGATTCTCACTAGAGAAGTTTAACAGGGTAGATACCTGTTCACTGTTGCACTCTCAAATGCCTCACCTAGTGTTTGGCACAAAAGAGGTACTCCATTTGTTAAAAACATGAATCAAAAGAGCCCTGACAAATCAGCTCTGCAGAGGGAAAGGGCATCTTTCCTGGTCAAAGAATCAGATCAGGAAGCATGCTGGGTAGTCAATTCCAAAGGCCTCAAGGAAGTCCATCTCACAAGCCCTGACTCTTGCTGTGGGGACCAGGGTGGGTTCCCTCACCTAAACCATGGTATAATCAGACCCAGAGCAGTTCCAGGGCCAAGTTCATATAAGTTGCATACAACCTTTGCAAGTGGCTGTGTAACTTCTGGGACTCTGAATCTAGCTTTGCAGGCCAAGAAGCAGATCTTAATGAAAGAACAAAGGGGATCCCCTAAAGTTACCTGACTCCTAGCCCATAATCCTAAAAAGAAGCCACGTTCAGTATTATGAATTCAAGTAACAGTGAATTTAAAATAACAGTGAATTCAAGACCCAGTATGCAACTGTCCTGAGTTCCCCAGACGTCTACAGCAAAGAGGAACTAGACTTCCAAGTGTCCCCCATTCCCATTGTAATACTCCCTCTGTCTGCCAATGTCAGACTTCCAGATTCTGTCTGCCCTCTAGACCATGTAAAGCTATTTGGTTGGGTACAGCTTGTGAACTCCTTGACCTTTGTATCTTTTTACTGTATCGTTAAAGATAACAGTAAAAACATTTACTCCTCAATT